TGTTCCTCCATCCCGTCCGACCAGGACGGTTGCGCAGTCAGGATTAAACTAGCCCTTGACGCTATTCATACAGTATAGTATGCTTCGGTTGGGCTGGCGTGCCGGTTTCTTTTTCTCAGTTGGTGATGTGGAAAAGAGATAAGCAGGGGGGGAGCCTGCTGAAGCCCGTGGGAGGGAAAGCTCGATCACTTTGCCTCGCTGTAATCCCAATCCAGATTCCTCCTCTGCCCTTGGTTGTGGGAAGGGCTCAAGGATATTTCCAAAGAATCTCTGGCATCGGTACCATGCCTCCGCCATTACACACCCTCGGGCGACCAACGTGATTTTCTTCTGGCCGAGCTGCAAAACTTCTGCAGCTCCAGAAAGTTTGAGAATGGGCTGTTTTCCCATTCACTGGAGGAGCTTGGGCCCCGGGGGCCTCTTGTCACTGAAACCTAATGCTATTTAAGCAGCCTTTATCAACCAACCCAGCCTTAATTCTTCTAAGCCGTTCGACAGTCCCTGTAAAAGCAAAGAAACAAAAAAAACCTCCAACCTGGCTTGATCTGCTCTACTTATGTAAGTAACACGCATCAGAGGCTTGCCTCAACCAGCCTCTGGGCTCAAGCAAGACCTTATTCCCTCCCTTGCAAGAAAAATCCCCCCCCCCCAACTTGGTCGTACTTTTAGGAAAAGGAATGGTGTTCTCCTGCCAATTAAGTTTTTATGGTTTTAAGGGTTTTATGGTTTTCACTGTTTGGGATGATTTTTGAGGATATTTTTGCGTTGATTTTGTATTGTTTTCTGGATGGTGAACTTTGGAAGCTGCCCAGCGTTGCGGGAGCGAGGTGGACAGCTACATCGATTTAATAAATAAATAAAATAAACTTGCAGGCTGTACTCTGCCAGCTACATCTCTGGCACCGGCGGTTGGGGAAAGCTGCAAAAAAGATAGTGTCTTGCCATTATCATAGCTTTCAAGGAGAATTTGTATGGATAAACTTTTGCCCAGTATCAGTGGTAGAGCCCTTCACGTTCCTGGGTTCTATACTTTCCCAAGACCTGAAATGGATGCTTAACATTACAGCCATCATTAGAAAGGCACAGCAAAGGATGCCCTTCACGTTCCTGGGTTCTATACTTTCCCAAGACCTGAAATGGATGCTTAACATTACAGCCATCATTAGAAAGGCACAGCAAAGGATGTTT